CAGACAGGACAGGCTAATACTAAAGAGACAGAGTTGAACAGACATAGGAATTGCCTGGACAAGAGCAGCAAAGAGGAGAAGAGTTGTGAACAATGTGTAAATTCTTACCTGGGGTTAGAGAAGAGAGAATTCATATGGAATAAAAGTTTCTTTTGGAAAAGGATGATCACTTCATTTCCATAGAGTATGATATTGACATGGGGTATTCAAGCTGAAATGTTAATGTAAACACTAATGGTCGAAATCTGGGGCAGAAATAGTGGTGTACACGTCAACAGCAACATAAAATCATGACAGGAAAAAACTAAAATAGAGTGTGTGAAGACAAGCAGGGGACAGAGGAAGGACCCTTGGACAACACCAATATTTATTAAGAAAACAGAAGGGGCAATTGTTTTGAAGACCAAAGAAAAAGTCACAAGGTTAGAAAATGAAATATATAGCACAGAGAAGTAAAGAGAAGAACAGAACAGAAAGCCCTAAGTATGTGATCATCACTGTCAAATGCAGTAAAAAGAGGTTCATTAAGTAAAGGAATAAAAAACTTACTATTCATTTGTGTATCAGGAGGTCTTAAGTACCGAGAAAAGTTCTTGGTTGAAGACAACAGAATCCACTCAGGTCACTTTAAGGAGAAAATTATTTATTAGCGGGTCTTGGATAGTGTATACAAACTCTGGAAGGTCAACAGATATAGCCATGGATGTCTTTCAGCCAGGAACAGCAGCAGAGGCCAGGACCAACTCCTCTGTCACTTCACTCTGCTCAGAAACTGTGACCCGGCACCAGGACCTGCACCAGAGCTACCTTAAATGAACCAAATGCCCTAGCCATCAGGCCCGCAAGAAGAGGCCCTTTCCCCAAGGAAAGCCTCATCCTAAAATCATCCTTAGTTCCTAAGAAAATGCTCACCTTCAGACGTCAGAAAGTCAACTCTCGCATTACCTGGATCATGCACAAATGGTATTCCAGGACAGTAACAAGTGTCAATGAAATGAAGATGGAGTCAAAAAAGCAAGAATAATCTTTATTCCTTAGAAACACATTTGTAAAATTAGAAGTAAGATTAGAAGATTCAGAACACATTTACTTGTATGCAGCATTTACACGGAGGATCAAGATATATGCTAAAATGGAACACACTTGTAAACAAATATTTCTTAGGAAGAGTTTATAAATGATAGACTCCACCACGCTAGGTGCACAGTGATACGCTTCTTCTTAATAGACTTTTTGTGGAAAAACAAAAAAAACCCATTCTATTTTAGCAATGAAATACCTCAAAGAATATCAATATATTTTTTTAAGACCTAATTAACATGGACTGAATAATAATGCCATCCATAAAAGTGGCACAAGAACAAATGGATTTCATGAAAAGCTAATGGAAAATATTTCAGACGTATCTGTTAAGAGGAAAAAAAGTTGAACTCACGGCTTGAAATGGGGAAAATAAATATTTTTGGTAAAGCTCTAGTCTAAAATGCAACATATTGATTTCGGGTTCTACAAAGACGACTTGGGTCATGTCTCTCCTGCCGTTCTACAGAACGCTTTGGCACAACTTGAGTAAAAACCTATCTACTTTGAATCATAAACACATCTGGGATTATATGTTGCTTTCTAATAGAGTAAAAAAATTCTACACATTCTGACAGTGTGTATTCACAAGCATGTTCTCTAAAATCATGCAATATAGCAGCACCAATTATTAAGACATTTCAAAAATTATTGTCGAACCGGAGCAGCAAATTCTATCAACAAATGCTATGCAGTTTTTGATTATGCAATCATTAAAAGGGAAAGTGGCTAACCGGCTCTGAGACAGGAAATTAAAAGTCCCCTTATATTTAAATAACAATCTAGTAAGTTCTAGATCTTATTTAGTGTCTCGGCAGTAATCTGCTCTCAGAGACATGGATAATGTAGCTTCCTTATGAGAAACTGAGATAGAATGTTATATACTTATCCTAAGGAGATTTGAAAAAATATATAATTATAAAATTTTGAGTCAGAAAGGGGCTGTCAGATCATTCAGTCCATCCATTCATTTTATTTATTTTTTTAAAATATTATTTGTGTGTGTACCATCAAATCGGATCTGACTGGTACAGGAGGAGACTGTCCCTCCTTCTCCAGCAGAGCATCTGGTGGATTTGAACTGCGCCCCTCTGGGATTGCAGTGCAGCTTCTTGCCACTAGGCATCCATTCATTTTAAATGGGAGAAAATTATTTTAGCCTAACAAAGAGGAAATGAGTTGACCAAGATCGCACAATGGTAGAGACTGGACCCCAAAAATCTTGATCCTCAAGATACACTACACTGTCTTCCTGAACTTCTATGGTTTTATCTGGTCCCATTAATTAAATAACAAAGAAAATATCAGATACATAGCAAGACAATAAACACACACTGCCACTGCAATTTTTAAATCAGAATATTAAAATGATTCCTGAGCCTTTCACTACCTTCATTGTATTGAGAATTCAGTCAGCATTAAATTATGACAAGCTATTAATGTTATTTTCAAATATTTACACAGACACCGAAGACAACTTTCAGACCCTTTTACAAACACATCCACGTGATGCCAAGACACACGTCATGGAATGGAATGGAACTATGATGGTGAATGGACTGAGATGCTGCAGCTCTCAAAGGACAGTCATGAGTTTATCTTGGTACTTCACACTCTGCGCTCCTCCTAAATTCTTCTGGTTCTGGTTGTGGACATAATCAAGCTGGCTGCCATCTCCACTGGCTGCTGCTTTCCAGTGCAACCTGTCATCTTGAAAAGATGGCCTGTTTTGTTTACAGAGTGAATGGTTAGTGCGGGAATGGAAGAAAATCCAGAAACGTGAAACAACATGGGCACCAAGGAAAGAAGCAGGGCAAGAAAACCACAAGCAACGTGAATGGTGATGACGTCAAAATGGAAATGAATGGATTTTTCTACTTTGGCAGTTTAAAAATTCATAGGTAGATAATTTATCAATCTTCACGTGTAGAGAAACTGTCTATATGTATCTCTATATACAAACTGTGTCATCCTTTCTCAAAAAGTATCTTAAGGTTAGTCTAGGGAAAGCTGGGTGACAGCTTAAAAGGTTTCTTTATTACAGGACTTCTTTATGCTAAAATGCACTGTGAATACCCATGGAACATTTGTTTAAAGTGCTGAAAGCTCTCTTTCAGGATGTGCTTTTCAAACTTCCAAATGGGAACTAGCTGCAGTCTAGTTTCATGGTGACCCCGCTACTGTCAGAGTAAAACTGTGCTCTACAGGGCTTTTAATGGCAACTTTTTAAAAAGGAGATTACCAGCACCAGGTTTTTCTTCCACGGCACCTTTGCTTGGACCAGAGCTGACAATCTTCAATTATCAGCTGCATTGAAAGTCTGCATTGCCAAAGGCCTCTCTTCAAGATTGGAGAGCTTACTAGGATACAAAATGCTAGGCTCTACCACCAGATATTCTGCGCTCCTAGTCTGAAATGGGTTAAGAATTTATACTTCTAACAAACTCCCCAAGTGATAGAGATGCTTCTGGTCAGCAGAGCCCCTGGAAAGGGCCACTGTTCTGAGGGGCTTTTCTCAGAATCCCCTTGTGAAAGCTGGGTGATGCAGTCCCCAGAAGGAAGCTGATGTGAGAGTACAGGGTACTGTTTATTTGTCACTACAAATGAAATATTTTTTTGCAAACACCATGTGAATAAAAGAATCATTCCTATCTATGCATTTCCTCCACTTCTCATATCTACCAATAAACTGCCTTCAAAATACAGAAACATTTAGAGTTATTACTCCATCAATCTCACTTGCTTTAAAAAGCTACATGGAGATCAAGTATAATACCCTCAGAGTTGGTAAGAACTATCAAAAGCTACTTTCTCTCCTTTGCCTTGTTTTCCATGTACCTCTTTTCACAACTCCATTTAGCAACCTTACCAAGTAATAATGTAAATGGAACTCAGCAATTATGTTCCTGCAAGTTTCCATACATGAGCATTCATTAAGACTGGTCTTAAAAAAATCACACTTTTAAAGGAATATCTATATTCAAAACACTGGCATTTGAAACCCTTCAAACCCAGTCATACACACAGTATGACAGATGCTAGTTTACTTCCAAAGGAGTGTAGTTAGGCTAGGGTAGGGGTAGGCAAACTACAGATGATGGGTCAGATTCCACTCACTGCCTGTTTTTGTAAATATGCATTATTGCAACACAGCCGTGAGCATTCATTTAAGCACTCTCAATGGCTGTTTTTAAGTTACAACCACAGAATAGAGTAGTTGCAACAGTGACCAACTGACCCTCAAAGCACAAAACACTATCTAGTCTAGCACCTATCTGTCAACCCTTGGGTTATGGGGGAAAAAACCTACCACCAGGGAAAGGAAACTCCCATCCACTCAAACCCCAAAACTATTGCCATCGAATCAATCTAACTCATAGCAATCCTACAGGACAGAGTAACACTGCTCCAAAGGGTTTTCAAGGTTTTAGATCTTTATGAAAGCAGATTGCCATATCTTTCTTCCAAGGAGTAGCTGGTGGGAACCACTGACCTTTTATCAGCAGAGAACTTACAACCACTGTGTTACTAAGGTTCCTTCTTAAATCCCTATGCTGGGGGGATTAGGGAGGTGGTGGAGGAAAGAGTTTAAAAAATACCCCGACCACCACAATAAAAATACCCTAAATTTTAAGTAAACAAATTTGAAAGACATGAAATTATTAGAGATTTGAAGTCCCACTTCTAATTCAGAAATCAGAAAGTCCAAAGTTGGAATTATTTTAAAAATTCAGTTCATTTGAACATCACAAAAGATAACCTGAGTAAATAAGAATCAAACTAGCTTCTTTTCCTCTGCAAATTATGAATCTGTACCATGACAATGCCACTGTCAAGACCGGTCTCCAATGCTGCATTTAAACTTCCCAGAGAAGCAGAAAGTTCAAGAGCACAGAGCTTTGGGCTTCAGCACTACTTACCTTACATTTGGAGAGTGAGGGTGCCACCGAGATTGGCTGGGATGAATATTTGGGTGATATGGAGGCTGCAAAGGAAATATTAGATGTGATTACTCACTCAGCTGCCTTTTTATTTCAACCGCATTTGTTTACCCTTACTTTTATGAGCATTCATCTGAAGGACTAAGAGGGTTGAGAGTAGAAAACTAATGCTACCCCCTGGCTGCTGGGTTGGATACATCCCAGGACAGTCATGGGAGCTGGGACTAGGAGCCCCATCAGCGAGGCAGCCCTTCTTAGGAAGGGGCAGGGACTGAAAGCGCGTGCTTTGAAAGGGGCTGTCAAGCATGCCCAGAGCAGGCAGTAACCACTGCTTCCAAACAGACAGATGGGAAGATTCAGAAAGACAGGGAGACTGATAGGATTTTTTTTACCCCTTCAGAAACATTTTTTGTCATTGCTGAAAATGAATGACAGCTGTGATTAACAGTTACACCTCCACTCAGACAAAGACAGGACAGGGACACTCACGTGAGTAGGAGGTAAATTTTTGGTCCTCCCATGTGTATGCAATAAAAAGAATTTTTTACTATGATCTAAAACAAAATACGCACACACAAAAAATGTGTACAGAGTACTTATCCTGGAGAAACAGAAGGAAGGAAAGGAAAGAGGGAGTGAGAAGGAAAGGAAAGGATAAAGGAAGGAACTGGTTCCTTTTCAGATGAGAAAAGCAGATCCAGACCTGTGACTCTCACAAAAACTTCAGTGTTTGACGTCAAGAAGGGCTGGACTAGGTGGCAGGTTGCTTATCCACTTCTGGCCTGCAGAGGGCAGCAGTCCCAGACATCACCAAAACCCATGGAGACTGGCAAGATTAAACTTTCTAAGGGTCTTTTAGGCCCCTCTGACATTTAAGTAAAGAGCCCTGGGGGTACAATGCTTTCCTGCTGAGCTGCTAGCCAAAAGGATGGCATTTTAAATCTACCAACTGCTGTGAGAAAAATATGGGCAGTTTCCTTCTCTAAAGACAGTTCTGGACACCTGATGGAGTGTAGGCATGAATCCAGACCATGCTGACAACAGGTTTTGGTTTGGGCATTTAAGAGCTTCAGTGGTGTAGTGGTTAAACACTTGGCTGCTAACCCAATGGTTGGAGGTTTGAACACACCACTCCTTCGCCTCGGAGGAGAAAGCTTTAGCCATCAGCTTCAGACAAGGTTGTTGTTTTGTACTGCTGAGAACCAACACACCACTGACTCCAGCAGCAGGTTCTCAGAGGCAGGTGACTGCCCATCTTTCTCCCGTGGAGCTGCTAGTGAATTTGAACCACATGCCTTCAGGCTGCCAGCTCTGCTCCTGACCACTAGGCCTTGGAAATTCTATAGGTTCACCGAGTCAGAAGCCACAGCAAAGGGCTTGGTTTGGTTTTGTTTTCACATTTAAGTCACTACAGCCCTGCAAATATTACTTTCTAAAACTCCTTCCTTCTTCTCTCCTCCCTTCCTGTTATGGTTAAAAAGTTGGAAAAAACAAACAAACCCCCAAAGATCCCAATAAAATAAAATGCCCCCTCCCAAAAACAAACAAACAAACAAACAAAAAAAGCTGAAGTTGCTCTCTGTTATAGAATCCACTCCCACAAAGAAGAGTAAACACCCTTGGATCAACTTCATTCTGTGTGTAGTAGGCTGTACAGGACAGAGAACTGTCCAGGGGCTTCCAAGTCTATAATCTTCACAGAAGCCTCTCCAGGGAAGTGGTTACTAAGTTGTAACCACTGACCTACTGGTTAGCAGTTAGTAGTGCTCAAACACTGTTATCACCTTGGCTGGGGAGCAGAGGGACGCTGTCCTTCCCAATGGTGCTACCATCAAGCTAAGTCTCCAACTACCACAGGGCATACCACAGGAAAAGGGAAATCTGGAGGAAACATCTCAACAGCAGAATTTAAGAGCTAAACTAGGGTTCAGACTTTCCCTGATGCCATTTCTTTACATCTCTCTCTTTTAGAAGATACACACAGAGAAGTTTAGGCAGTCTGCTCAAAGTCAAACTTACTGTGTTTTGGTCACAAAGCCATGTCCAAAATGTAATTTCATCGATTGGGAACTGACATCGTCAATAAATGAGAATGACTAACCTAGAACTAAGGTCTCTATTCTAACGTCTATCTTCAAACACAACCAAATCAGATTTACTGGAGGTGTTAGGTAACTTACCCATAAAGGACATTCCAGAACTTTCCCTAGTGTTTCAAAATCCTAAAGCCTATTGTTGTGTGTCATTGAGTTGATTCCAACTCAAAAAAACTTAGAAAGCTGTCAGGGAGAATTGTATTGTTAATGCCAGATGGTTCTCAACCAGTTCCTCTGGAGGAACTGGAACTGTACGTGACATGTTGCAAATGACTGGAAGGTTATCTTTAATTAAAAGGCAGAGAACAGGGAAACAAAAAGTCTTGTAATTCCAGGGACAGTACCAAATGGCGGGAAATTGTCTCTCTAGAAAACGCTCACAGTATTCCCAATGAGAACACAGCATCCACCCTTTGCTAACCTTGTCATGCAGGATAAATGCTGAAGCATCATTATCCTGAAAACCCTCTGTCGTACACAGAAGCCTATCAGGTCAGGTCTCAGGACAGTTTATCTCAGTCAACTGACTCTCAATCCTTGATAGCAACACAGAACCTCCACAATTGGCAAGGTGCAAAGAGTAGTGGTTGGCAAAGATGTTAAGAACAATATCTAGGTAATGGTGTTGTGTGGATCTGATTTCAACAAATATCCTCAGTGTCTACTCTACAGGGAATGAGCAGTGAGAACACAACCCTGAGGCTGGTGAGGTCAGAACAGTGCAGAATGGGGTTACTTTGCTTCACTGATTTTTATTTCTTTCTCTCTGTCAAGTTGCAACGGTCCATCAACAACCCTTTCCTCTCCCACAACATTCCCAGTCATTAAACTTGAAAATCTCTCAACAAAAAACCAATCCATTAATGAATAAGAAGATTCAAGAATGTAGAGAACACAAAGTAAGTGGGAGATCTAAGATTTCCTCAAGCATGCTTGAATTCTTTTTTTAGGATTTACACTCCAAAGTAATTTCCAAGTTGTGCAGACACACTGAGAAGGTGATGTATTGAAGTCAACAGCACAAAATATCAGCAATCTGGAAACCCCATAAAGATAATCTATGCTGGGATTCTATGCCCATTTACAGCAATATAAGATCAAGAAAGGTGTAATTCGAAGACAACTCCAAAGTGCCTCGTCTTTTATGAACTTGATTACTGTGACATTCAAAACCAGACTAGAAACAGGGCACAGAATCCAGGAGAACAGTGTCCGTCAGGCATTCAGATCCACCTCGTATAAGAGTTGGCCCCAACGTGGAAGGTGCCTGCTGAGGACGCTGCATGAGTAGTGCCTGCCTGGAAAGGTGGGTCCACGAAGCCCAGCATTTTCCAGCCTGTTCATTACAATCACCTGACTATAGCCACTGCCCTAGAGTCCATTCCAACTCATAGCAATGCTCTATCTGGTTGCCAAGGCTATAAATCTTTATGCAACAAAGAATGTTCCTATTTCTCCCTCAGAATGGCTAGTAGATCATGCATGAAACTGACCAGCAACATGCCACCAGGCCACCAGAGAGCCTTACAACCACTTTATCCAAGTGCCATCAAGTTGAGTCTGACTTACAGTGCTACTCTATTTGGTTTCTGAGGTGGTAAATCTTTATGGGGAAGACTGTCATCTTTCTCCCAGAGAGTGGGTGGTGGATTTGAACCAGCAACCTTTCTGTAAGCAGCTGGATATGCTGTACACTATGACCTAGTGCTCCTCAGAACCGCCCTAGGGGTTTTGACACTGCATTGAGGCTCAATTCCACTCCTCTGATCCATTCCTCTGATCCAAACTCTCTGGAGTAAGGCCTTAGCAATGACTTTTTTTTTTTAAAAAAAGATTTTCAGGTGGTTTTAACAGGCACTACATTTGAAAGTCTCATGAGGAGTCTTGGTGGTGTGCTGTATTTTGCCCTGCTAACCAGTAAGTCAATAATTTGAATATACCAGCTGCTCAAAGGTGAAAGATAGGCTGTGTCCTCCTATAAAGATTTACATTCTCAGAAACTTGACGGAGGGTGGCGAGGAGTTGGAATCAACTCCATCACAGTGGCTTTCTGGGTTTGGTTCAGGGTTGAAAACCACTGGTAACCTCTAACTGAGAGGATCAGGTGGCACTGGAGGAGACCTGGCTTCTGAGCTGGTCTCTGAGGATCTTTAAATGTACAGATGGGAGGTGAAGGGATCCTGGCAGATGAGCATATGCAAACGAATGAGGAATGACATTATGGGGCAACAATTATGCAGTTCCCTGAGAGACGAACATATGGTGTGTGATGAGGCACAGTGAGAAATAATGTAGAAGAATACGTTAGAGCCAGGCTGGGGAAGGATGTGGATGGCTACAGAGAGCCCCCGCAGCTGTTTGGGAGCTAAGTGCATGATGTAAGCTAGGCTGTGGACTGTGCTTGGACCATGACCCCAGGGGCTGCTCAGTGGTGGATGGTCAGGCAGACAGGCAATCTCGGGCCTTGGGTGGTCACACCTACAGGCCTCTATCTACCGCGGGCCAATTCTGAGATACGTGAAAGGGTGCAGCATCAGCCATGAGGACAGGCAGGCTTCTTCTGTAGGAGACAGATCTCGACTCAAACTCACAGCTGTCACTTCAGAACTGATTTACAGACCCTCCGGCAGGTTTTCAGAGGCAGTAAATCACATGGGAGGAGACTGCCCTTCTTTCTCCTGTGAAGCAGCTGGTAGATTGTAACTGCCTACATTTGAGTTAGCAGCACAACTCCTCACCCACTAGGTTACCACTGTTGTTCTGAGGTGCCGTGGAGTTGACTGTGGCTCACAGAGACCCTTCCAATAAAAGCTGTGAACCCGGTCCTATCCTGTGTCACCCTCATCACATCTTACATACCTGAGCCCACTGTTACAGTCACTGTGTCAACTAGCTTGTTGAGTTTTCCTCTCTTTCTCTGACCCTCCACCTTTCCAAGCATAATATCCTTTATCGAGGACTGGCCCCATCTTTTTGTTTCCAAGACAAACAAAAATATGTCTTAGAGGAAAAGCAACCAGGGTTCTCCTTAGAGGTGAGGATGGTGAAGCTTTGTCTCAAAATATGTCTAGCCCTAAAGTGGGTTTTTTTGGTGTATGTGACTGGGGGCGGAGGGGGTGTGCTGCAGGGTCAAATAATCTGCGGGACACAGTGAACTCAGAAGGAACTGGAAAGGAGACACAAAGCCCAGGGGACACTGAGCTTCTATTAACACACTGCCACAAATGACGGAAAATGTGTTTCTAAGCATGGTTGTCAATGTAAAAGCGTGCGACAATGCATTCAGGAGGGAAACATTACAATAGATAACGGTGAAGGTTGAACAATATGATAAAAGTCATTGACGCCATTAAACTTGAGATGTGAAGAAAGTTGAATTGGCAAACACTTTGTAATATAATTTATCACCCCAATAGAATAAAAACAGGAAAAGAGAGAAAAGAAAACATGTATCTTTCTGTCAGGGCATCTCACTGGTGAGACCAGTGGGCTGTAAGGTCCAAGAAGGGAGCTGAAGGGCATAATGCTTCCCAAACCATCGGCCAAGATACCCTCTCCTGGACGCAAATCTCACCGGACTCATGTTCCCCAGCCCCAAACACACCTGGACAAAAAGCTGCCGCACCTGAGTGCCTCTAAGAGGTTGTTTCTGCTCACCCAGAAACCTGAACTTATGCCCCTGCTATGTGACATATGACAAAGTTAAGAAATGAGCGGTTTGGACAATCGAGAGGAAAGGAAGCAAGGGTCATTAAGGGCTTTCCTCTTGTTGCTTTCTCAAAAAGCTTTCTCAAAACACTCATTATTTCTTCAAAATATGAATATAAGCATAATGACTGTTCAAAGCAGCAAAATTTAAAAAACATGAAAAACTCTTATAAAACATCTCACCTGGTAATTATGGACTTCAGGATTTGTTTTAGAGCTAAAAAAAAGCAAAAAAATAAATTAACAAAATGAGAAATGGCATTATTACAGGTTTCTTTAACAGTTATAAGCTGTACCTATGTACTGCCCATTCTTAGGAAATGCCACATACTGCACCTTTTTGTTACTTTGCTTACTTTACCAGGAAGGTAAAAGAGTTTCATTCATCACTTTAGAGCCCACAAACAGAAACAGGCAGGTGATATCCCAAACTGCCTGCAAACGGCACAAAAGGGACCCTTTCAGCTGTATGAGCCAAGAGATGTTAGCTCAGACCCCACGTCTGCCCTGGCATTGGCAGGTGGTCCACAGAACCAGGAAGTGCCACTGATGCCCAGTTTTCAGTAGCTGGCGACAGAGCTGCCAGCCACTTGTGGTGAACCCATCACCACTGAACACTGTGCTGGGGACACAGAGGCCCTTCTGCTATTGACCATACTGCCGACAATGTGGTCATCGCTCTGGAATGCTCATGGCATTCAAGGCTGGGTCCTCACAACATCCCGTCTGTTATTATTTAATCCACAGTAACACTGATACAAGGTCAGTAAACGTTACCACCTCATTTTACAGATAAAAAAACAGTTGCCTCACAGAGAAATCAGGGCCACCCGGCTAGTCAACAACACTGGGCTGGACTAGAGTCTGCTTGTTCAATTCTGAAGGTGGAATTCTTTCCATGAAGCCAAGCTGATACTCCAAGAGCCTGAAAACAGGTTCAGGCCTTCTTATGCATGAGTCTATTCTGGCAGATTCTTAAATGTAACCACTCCATAGACATGTATGTGCTTATCATACATGCAAATAAGGACGAAGAAACTTGTGTAAAATGAAATGTACTTAAAATGCCAAGCAAAGTACTGGCCAGAAAACCCACAAACAAACAAGAGCACACTTGCTGGGCTATGTTGCCAGGGTGGTGTGCTCGAAATAAAAGTTCACTGCTTCTCCAACAATGAGAGGGAAACATACCCTTGTTATGAATACTGCTTGGTGACTAAAAGGTTCTGTGTTCCAGTTTTCAGAGCTGGCCAGCAGGACAGAGCTAGGCTCCGGGTCAGTGCCACCCTAGCTGGGTTTCATCAGCCAGGCTAAGTGCTCCGTGAGGCACCGCTTTCCCGGCAGCACCTCTGCATCCCAGAGCACAATTTCCTCCCTGGCTCCCAGCAACCCCACTAAACCTGGGAGCCCACAGGCTGCGAAGAGCAATTGAATGGCTGAGAACAGTGGTTATTAGCTCATTCGTTCCTAAAGGGTATATTTACTGGGGCTTTTTATTGCTGGAGATTTGTTTTTTAGTTTGTTTTGATTCTCAATCTATATAATCGCCACTAGAAGCTAAGAGGAAAATGGAATTTTATTAGGGGAAAGCAAACAAACAAAAAATAAAGCACCACCTTAGAGAAGGAAATGAAGACAAATTCTAAGTGCTATGACTTACAAACCACTGGGAATATAAAAGCACACAATCTTGAGAAGCTGGGGAAGGGGCAAACACTTTTAAGCCACCACCTGCTAGAAAGACATGTGAATTAGGGCAAACAGAAAACTTGCCTACATAAGAAGCCAGGGACCTTCCTCCATCCTAACAGGGCTCGGAGTGGCAGCTAGCAGTTCCCTGGGTCTCTAGAGCTCATCCCTGAACTTAAAATACAAGAGCCAGAACGTATGGCCCCAAGCAGAATGGCAATGCAAGGAACTGGGAATCAGGTAATCAAGAAGAGTTCCCGGCTGTGCAATGCAAGGAGGAGTTAAGTCGACGAACTCATTTCATCTTATGTTTTCTAGATCCTGGGGGGTCCCCAGGAGTCTGATGGCAGGAGAGCAGGCAGACCTAGGTCCCACAGTCACCTCGCTGGGGATTACTCCCCGTCCATAGCACTTCCATTTCTAACTGTCCTATATACTTGGACTTCTATGTCCAATTTCTTCTGGAGGGAAAAAAAAAATCAGAGGCTATAAAGTTTACAAAACCCAAATACTGCCCAAATTCTATGTTTTCAGGAGACCCTGAAAAGAGCAATCTGAAGATCCCACAGCTGGTTTGGAGGCTAAGACAGAATCCCTGATTCCTCAGCCACTGTTCTCGTCACCTGACTTGGACATCTGCAACCCTTCCTCGAAGTTTCGTCCACAGCCCCACACACAGCTCAGTCCTTATTTCAGAGACCACTTCCTGAGCAGCTTGTGCTGGGGACAGTCAATAGGGCTGGTGGAAATGTGTCTCCAGTGGCTGGAGCAGACTCAGAGTGATTCTCTAACAAAGCAGCTGTCTTCCTAATATAGCTAAACCCACATAAGAGAAATGGCCGAATCAGAGGGAGAAAGAAAGTTCCACAGGAGAGGCAGGGTAGTTGCTCTCATCTGAACCTAGTACTAGAAATCACCTGGGGAGTTATTTAAACACATTGATGCAAATGACCAATATAGCCATCCTGCACATTTTAATTAATAAATAAAAGGAACATCATTCGTACGAAGTGTACTAATGCATTTATTTGTTAATTATTCAGTAATACATCGAAAAAAATTGTAACATTCCAGACAACATATCAATTTTTTTTTGTGCGCAATTTTTCATGTTTAACAATTCGGACTATTTTTGCCATCGAGAGTTTTCATGGAAAAACTGTCACAAAATGTGATAATTTTCACTTCCAAACATACGACTGACGCTCCATTTCATATGGCAGTCATAAACAATTGGAAAAAAAAATGTGTTTCTAAGCATGGTCGTCAATTTGAAAGTGTGTGGCAACGTGTTAAAAATACAGGTGCCTGAGCACCAGCCCCAGGCATTCAGATTCCATTATTCTGGGCTGTAGCCTGTCAGAACTCATCAGATGACTCCAATGAACAAGCAAGACCCCAGCCCCTGTGCAGGGGTCAAAGACAGCAAACTATGGCCCAGAGGCCAAACTGAGCTCACTGACTTTTGAAAGTAAAAGTCTCTTGGAACACACATATGCAGTCGTCTATCTATGGTCTACGGCTGTTTTCATGCCACAAAAGAGCAGGGTTGTTGCAAAAGAGATCATGTAGCCCACAAAGCCTAAAATATTCCCTATCTGGCCCTATGCAGAAAAAGTATGCTAACCCCTGCACTAGGGTTTCAGTCTTGCAATAATGCTTTCCCCCTGAGGAATTTCAGCAACGAGGTTTAACGTCTTCTATATCTCTGCTGTAAAACTGTCAGGTCGCTGAACAAACCCAGCCTCTGCTACCAAGCTTTTACGGAGGAGCCTCTGCTATCAAGCCTTTACAGAGGAGCGTGGCCTTTGTTCCACCTCATCGCAGCCTGAAGCACTGCATGCTGTACACATTCCTCTCACCTTTACCACCCACTGTTAGAATAAACAAAGCACAAAGCTACTCAAACAGAGCAGCTGTGTTTTTGAGAACAAAACAAAACAAAAACTGTCCTAGAACATTCTTTGTGCATTTATTGAAAGCCAAGAGGATTGTATAGCCAGGCAGCAGAATAAGGAGGGGGGAAAAATCATCAGGTGACTCATTTTATGATTGACCGTATCAAGGGAACGCAACATCACAAACAAATAGGATAATTAGAGGGAGGAACGTACGGTACCTAGAGTTGGGGCACTTACCAGAGCTGAGCTGCTATCACGGGGTTACTTGCTTTAAAGAAAAAAGAGAAAAGAGGGCGGGGATAAAAAAAAAAAAAAGAGAAAAGAAAGTTATTACATCTAAAAGCACCACTCTAACTTTGTTTTCAATCGGTTTTGTTCTTTAGAATACACAGCTAAATATTCACCAATTCCACAATGTTCTACATGTGCAATGCAGTGACATGATTATACTGTTCACCTGATGCAAACAGTCTCGTCTTCTTTTTCTAAATTGTTAAAGTAAACCCAGCTAAATACACACCAATTCAGCAATCCCTGCCCGGGCCATGCAGTGATGCTGTTTACACTGCTCACAGTGTACACACACACTCTCACCCTCCTTTTCTGAGTTGTTCGTCCCCCATTGCAGGAACGCACTGACCACTGTCTAATCTTTCAAGTTCCTGCTGTCAATCTGATCTCATGAAGATGAGCTACACATTTCTTATTAACCATGTATACCTACTTTTTTGGTTTAAAGAAGACTTGAGTGGATATTTTCTGGGTTAAGGTTATTAAGAGTATCTCACGGAGTATCTCACGGCAATAGTTTCAGGGGTTCAACCAAGCCTTCACAACTCCATAAAATCTGGGATCCATGAAAATTTTAAACTCTGTTCGGCATACCCCCCACCTTTTAATCAGGATTGTTCTACAGAACTGCTGACCAAAATGTTCAAGAGTATCCAGGCACCATCCAATTTTAGCCTCTTGACAAAGGAGGCATTTATTCACGGAGGCAATGAGCCATGTCTTTCCTTTCCTCTTCCTATTCCTGATTCTCCTTCTTCCTCTGCTGCTCCAGGTGAATAGAGGCTAATTGTTGTTCTCATGCAATTTCAAAGACAATGACCAGGAAGAGACTTCTGAAATCTCAGAGCAGTTCCAACCTCCTGTAGGCAGAAACTGTACCTCAGCTTTTTCCTTTTCTGAAAGAAATGGCCTCTCCTCTGTGCCCCTCTCACTCAGACTCACTCAGCTGATATTCACTGAGTGTGTCCCCAGCCAGGTGCTCTGGAGGGTACACCAAGGAACCCACATTCTTGTGATAAAGAGACTGAGTGTAGGGGTGATGACAACAGACGGGAACAGAGGCTGGAACACATGTATGCGTGTAGTCAGGAAGCATGGAGTAATTACTTCTGAGCAGGGTGGGTGTCAGTGCAGAAGGCATGGGATGAAAAAGAGCTCACTTATCTATATTCCATTTTGTTTTAAAAAAGGATGTAACAGGAAAAGGTCCTTAAGAGCTTCACAGGGATGTTAGAACACGGGTGGGAAAGAAGTCAGTACAATAAAAGAGCATGGGGATCAAGAAGGGAAAGGGATGAGTAGGACAGAATCCTGGGTCTGTAAACCCCCTAATGGCAGCCTGACTTCATCAGAAGTCTTTCTGTTTGCACCTGCTCACAACTCTATGAACTAAGAGCTCGCCAGCATCTGAGGATGCTTATCTCTGGACAACCCTATCTGAAGGTTCTTCCTCACACTGGACTATTTCTGGTGAAATGATCCAGTGACACTCTCCTCTTTTACACACACAGACTCACACACATACACATGCACTCTCTCTCTCACACACACTCATCCCCAAAGTAATACAGCTCTCCCAACAGAGTTCTCCTTCTTCCTCTAGCATTCTCAGTTCCTACCACTTCTCTGTCTCAGATTTCAGCTCATCTCTAGATAGGTTCCTATCCCACTCGCCTTTCTTTAAGGTGGAGCACATTCTGGGCTCTGGTCATTTTCCATCCACTACAGTAGACAAATGGCTTTAGAGAATTTCTGGCCACCATATCGCTGTATTCTTGGTTCTCAAGGGAAGAAAATAGTGGGAAGCACAAGGTTAATGACTCCAGAAATGAGGCCTATGTATGTAATGGTGCTAGGTCCCAAGGAGGTCCACTAACTGCTGAGCCATTCAAACCAAAGGGATGGAACGGCCAGCATGATGAAAAGGTAAGGAAGGAGAGAGCAAGGTGGGTTTAGAGCACAGGGGCCCTGTCCTTCAATGAGTTCACAAAAAAGGGGAAACGATTTAGTCCTAAACTGGGAGTTCAGACTGAAGAAGTGATTAAGTATAGAGAAGGGAGAGGTAAAAGATGGGACTTGCAGGCAAGATTTACAAAGAAGTGAGCTGAGCACAGCTTGCTTATTTACTCAATGGGGGAGCATGCATTAGGTGCCAGGGTTCATACCAGGAACAAAGACATAATGGAAAACAACAAAGACTTAACAGCAAAGCTTAAGGGAGTGGGAAGTAGCACCCTGAGCCCTGGCTACCTACTAGGAAGAGTACAGAGTGGACTGATCCTGGGGAGCTGAGCCAGGATTTGCACTCTCTCTAGTGGTCTAGTGGCAAAAAGCTGCCCTGCAATTTCAAAGGCATGTGGTTCGAGGTCACCAGCTGCTCTACAAGAGAAGGATGAACAATCTCCTCCTGTACAATTATGCCCCCTGAAAACCTGCTGCAGGATCAGCTATGGGCCAGTTCCAACTCTACCATACACAGCCTCTACTCTTACAGGGTCAGTATAATGGGTTCTCCATGCCTGATGATGTTATTTGGAACTGGAAAATGGGAGAAAAATGACTGTTTTTCCCCTTAAGATAAAGTATTGTCCTCTGCAGGCATGATACTCCTGGGGTCCCAGGGCCTGGTCCCAGACTTAGAAGAAGCAAAGAGGCAGAAGGTAGGAAAGATGGGAATGGGGAGAAGCAAATAACCACATCCCACTGAGAAGGGCTAATGAGCAGGAGAGCAGAAGAGGCCTGTTTTGTACAGCGGGGCCCTGAACTGCCGTAAAGCTCTCTAAGCATCTTCTCAAACGGCTTCACCACGCTCCCAGGGCTCAACTCAATCACACTGTGAAATTCGAAGGCAGAAGGAAAAGCATACAACCTTTAAAAGTAGAATGTCTCCGGGATGGATAGCGTTTACTGGGCTTCCTTTCAAAGGTGCTGGTTCTTCGTAATCTGGCCCCATGTGTAGCTTGATACTCTGTCCGCCCACTGGAAAGCAAACGTTATATTTTGTTACCCATTTCAGAATATCATCCGTACATTACACATACTCAGAAGGAAACTTTTCTTTTCAAGAGCTCCAGCGTCAATTCCAATTTGTCCCAACTCATTTGCTAAACGTAAACACTAAATTTAAGGGAGTTCTGGTGGCTTAACGAAAAGAAGCTGAGCTGCAATCCCAAAGGCACCCAGTCTGAGGCTACCAGCTGCTCTGAAGGAGGATGGGCAATCTCCTCCCATGTGATTTACTGCCTCAGAAAACCTGCTGGAGAATCAGTTATGAGCTGGTTCCAACTCTACAGTAGAGAACAACAGCATACACTAAATTTAGTTATTTTTACACTAAGATTTACCAAATCTAGGCTTGGATAGAAACAAAACACCCCTGAGGGGCACCAATGATTAAGCACTAGACTACTAACAGAAAGGTTGCCAGTTCAAACCCATCCAGAGGAGCCTGAGAAATAATCAGCTTTGAAAAAAAAACAAAAATGTGAAAATCCCATGGTATACCATCTTTTGTATACAATTTGACAGAAACTAACAACAACAACAAAGTTGGGTGTTTGTTCTTTTTTTAAAGAAAAAACAAAACACAAAAAGTATTTTTACCAAAGGCATAAATTTGCAAACTCAGTACCAGCCACTTGGCTGCACAACTCAAGCAGTTAGAGTACCTGGAACATTTGACTCAGAGAGCACTGATTAACACATAAACTAAGCCTTCATGACAGATGACACATACACCATAACTCACCCTTTCAAAGGCTGTTATCAATGACCACAGAACTAAACCTTGGCTTTCTTTGCTATGTCAAGGGAAAGATTTCTCATTCACCAAGGCATTCTGGATTTTAACAACACGTCACCCAGGTGCAGCCCCCAGCCATGCCATGCTGTTTTTGTTTCTTTCACCCACCCCACTGTTGTACCCCAGCCACTCTCGGTTTACAATTTATCAGAGGAAAAGAGCCATCTGTCACCAGCACTGAGTCCTAAGTGCCTTCAAGAGGCATCCTTGCCTCCAGCCTCCTCTTCCTGCTTACAAGGCTCCTCGAAGAGCAGCAGGGAGCTTGGTCTTGGCCAAATCCTCAGGGAGTTTCCTCCCGGGGGTGGGGTGGGGGGGGGGAAGCCAGCCGTGGCAACGGTCGGCCCGACAGCCTTCCTGCTTCACTCCATCTCGGGCAGACATCAGCCTCCTATGAAGCATCTCTGCTAACCTTTGCAGTTCTGACATTTCCCATCTGCCACAGAACTCTGTGATTCAATGCTTTCTCAAAAAGGATGTGGGGTTTTGTAGGTCCCCCCCACAATTTCTCCTTTGAACACTTAAAAATATATTCAAACAAAATGTATTCTTTAAACAGCAGAAGTGCACAACCATGTCCTTACACAGTAGATAAATTAGAAAGGAACAAACCTCTTGGCATTTTAAACCGGGTTCAGGGATGTGCCATGTGTGGGCAGAGGTTATGAAATCATGTCAAGTGTTAGATCTTGTACCAGCGAGTCTCAGACCTGTAAATGCGCCTCAGAAAAATCAATTCCAGCACATTAAAAATGCCCATTCCAAGGCCTTACACACACACACACACACACACACACACACACACACTGATTCTGATTACAAAGGTCTCAAAGTCGTAAGCCTTCGTTTTTAACAAATGCCAGAGTGTTCTTATGTATGTTCTTACAGAGGAAGAAACAGTCCTAAACCACCATGCATAACACACAATCCTGTTATCAGAAGCAGCTCTCCAGATCTTCAAGGTCTTCCCAGATTCAAACACTGACTCAGCCCATTCTAGATCCCAAAAGCATATTGACACCTGCTCTCATTCTGAACCATGACCAAAATCCTTGACACGGGTACATGAAAGACAGCACAGCAGTGGTTAGAAACAGGAGAGCGAGACTGCACCAGCTCAAAGTTCACCTCCACCACTTGCTGGCTGTGTGTGACTGTCGGCAGGTTATGTAACTCCTCTAGCCCCAGTTTCCTTATCTGTGAAATAATGATAAGCAGAGTGTCTACCTTTTTAAAAGGCTGCTTTGAGCATTAGGGGCTAGTATGAGATTTTCTGGCACAGCACAGTTTAACAGACTTTCTACAATGACGCTATGTTCTGTACCTGCCCAGTACGGCAGCCACTAGCCTTCAGGTGGCTACTGAGAACCTGAAATGTGGCAAATGACACTAAAGAATAAGATCCTAAAAAGAATTTCACTTCAATGAATATACATTTAAATAGCCATATGTGACTACTGTTAGCCATATGTGACTAATACATCACCCTGTTAGGCAGCGTGGTAAGCTGCCAGCTGCTGTCAAGAGGGTACCTGAGTTGTGGCAACATCATACACAACAGAACAAAACACTAGCAATGCCACACCATCCTCAGGACTGTCGGAATCCACAACTGGTAGACAACCAGGCCTTCGTGTCTAGTCTAGCTTAGCAAGTTCCCCTAAAACCTGTCCAGAATCACTAGCAACACCCAGACTGCTACTGACCAATGGAGGACACGTGTGTCTCAGAGGCAATGGCTGGAAATCAAACCCAGGTCTCCCATAGGGAACTCCTCCACTGAACTACCAGTGACCTCGCTTACTGGACAGTTTGTTGTTGTTGTTAGGTGCTATCAAGTTGTGAGCCTAGGCACAAGTAAACGGAACTCTGCCTGATCCTGTGCTCTCTTCAAAATCTCCGCAGCGCTAATTAAGCCCACTGTTGCGGTCACTGTGTCAACCCATCTGGTTAAGGGTCTTCCTCTCTTTCACTGACTCTCTGCCTCTCTAAGCAGCGTGTCCTTCCCCAGGGACTGACCCCTCCTGGGAACCCTCCCCAAGTATGTGAGACAAAGTCCCACCATCTTTGCTTCTAAGCAGCAGTCTGCTTTTACTTCTTCCAAAAGAAACTGTTTGTCCTTTTGGCAGTTCACAGTATAGTCAATATTCTTCGTTTGAAGGCATCAATTCTTCTTTAGGTTTTCCTTATCCACTGTTCGCTTTTAGATGCATATAAAGCAACTGGAAATACCATGATTTGGGTCAGATGGATGCCATAATTTTAACTACATGTTGGCTATTACGAATTTTATTTTTATCAGCTTCATTTTATCGATGAAAACACGAAAGCTAAATGACCTAATGGTCCGATTTCATGAATGGAGTATCCGTACTTACATTAAACGCAAACTCAAAGCTCCTTTCACACAAAAGCATCACTGTTTCCCTTTTCTGAAACCAGCGTGCCATCTATGCTATGGAAGAGTTCCGTACCTGAATCTGAAGCGAGATCCCAGCCTGATGAAATCCGACCTCGTTGATTTGCTGTTTCTCGGGGTCCGCAGCCTGAAGAAGGCGTGATGTTCAACTGCACACTTCCAGAGGTGCTTGCACGTCCTGGCGCTGTCTAACCGGAACACAAAGGTGTGCTCCTGCTCACGCCCCTTAAAGACAAAGTGCAGGAGAGTCAGTTGAGTGTTTGCAACAACAAAGGGGGCTCACAAGCGAAAGGGAGAACTGAGAACAAGACCTACCTGATCGTCATCCTCAACCACCACAATTGTCAATTTGCTCTTTTTTAAGTCCATTTTGGTAATTTTAGGCCTGGTCAGAGAAAAACCCATTTTAAAAGGTACTTCCTGCAGTAAAACTACCTACATATCTACCAGCAGTTTCTTTGCTACTTTATAATCTTAGATTCATTTAAAGGGAAAAAAATCATTCATTCAATTAAATGTGATTATCTGGAAGTTTCTTGGAAACTGTCATACACCCACAAATACAATAATAGCATGATGTTTGGTTTTTTTAAATAAATTTGGGTGTTGCAAATACCTCTCAATTACCATCCATCACATATAATTCCACCACAAGATAGGAAAAGACATTTTTAATATTAGACAAAACTAAATTACCAAAAGAATAAGCCTATTTTGTTAGCTCCTTCAAAGATTAATATGCCTGTCGGAGTCAGTCCAAGAGAATATTCACAGCCATCTCTTCCCTACAAACAAACGAAGTGACAATCGGTAGAGGGTTCTAACAGGTCGTCACAGAGCAGAATGCAAAACAGTATCCTCACCACATTACTTTGTTTGCATATTGTTTACATGTTTTCAGTAACTCAAAACACAAGGACTTAAATATGCACACAGTTCTTACCCTGACAACGTGCATGTCTACCCCATACATTTCCAGCCACTTCGCCTTATTCAGATATGAGAGTTCCGCCTGGGCAGGGCTCTTTCCCCTTAGAAAAACCAATGGAACACAATGTAAACTGCAACCCAGACACCCACACAATTAGAAAGGGCACAGCAGCACTATGGGATCTATGCAGCAATTAAAGGGGGGAGGTATGCTATCTTATGTTAAAAGTGAAAGATCTCCAAGAATGTGTTGTTTCTTTAATAGAAACATCATGACATGCTGCTTACAGTAAGATCACTGAACAAAATAAAACACGTGTTTTGGTGTGGATGCATTTGAGTAAAGCAGAATAAAATGCTAGAAAATATAAAGCAGACTCTTAACAGGGCATCATCCAGGGAAGTGTGTGTGTGTGTGTGTGTGTGTGTGTGTGTGTGTGTAGTGCAATGATTCTACATCTACTCTCCATATTGTTTCAAGAGAAGGAAAAATAGGATGCACTAATCTAGCCAGATTTCTTTTACAAAAAAATGTAAGATCCCAAGAGTTACTCAGAATGACTTGAGTGACAAAGGACTCCATGGTGAGTCTGTGAATCTGAGGGTAAATGGGAAGCAGTGTTTTGGGAAGCGCCTGGAAGAAGGAATGCAGGCCAGCTCATTGTTAGACCTGCGTGGTGGTGCATGGGGAAATAGAGAAAGTAACCAGAGAGAGAAAAACAGTGTGGTTGAATGATGAGCTGGATTTAAGCCTGGGGATCCCATATTCTGAAACATAATCATTCATGTGGATTTGAATGTGGGCTTCCTATAAGGGATATTATTTCTCAAAAGTCTGCTCTGGACGATTCAAGCTTGATAAACATGGGTGCTTATCAAGGCAGCACGTCTGTACTTTCTCTGGGGAACCAGGACATAGAAAGAAACCCTGAAAGCTATGAGTAAATCAGGACGAGGTTCTGTATGTCACAAAGGGAAATGCTGCCGTCTGGTTCTTAAAAGAAAAATGACATGTAGGCCACAGGAGAAAAAGAACCGGAGCCCAGGAGAGAAAGAGCCGGGACTGCAATTCTACAGTCAGCAACAGAGCAGGTCTATGGAGATTCTGACAAATGCTTACATATTAAAAAGAAATCTATCCACCAGAATACTACACAAGCATCAAGGTACCTGCACTCTTTCCATCTCTGGAAGATATCAAATTCCATTGCTTCTGTCTGATTTGGAATGAACCGAAACTCAGACACAAGCTCTGGGGTGTGTTCCGGAAGCTCACACTCGCCAAGTTCCGCTGTAAGTTTCATAAAAGGGAAAAAAACAGAAGACGTTTAATGCTTGCAGTTATTACTACAACTAGGTTCGTTCTGCATGATTCTAAAGCACAGGTACCCCCCGATGAATAACTCTTCCTTCAGGAAGATTTAACTACTGCTCAGAGCCCACACGCACACTGAATCCCCAAGAATCACTTTCATGCCATCCCTGTTGGGTGATACACCATCATCTTAGTTATTACTGTCTGTCTTCCAACTGGTTCTCCTCCCTGGCGAGGCGCTCATTACACTGTCCCTGTGCAGTGGTATAGCCCTGCATCTGTAATAAAAGGCAATTGCAGGGAATAAGGACCTGCCCAGGAACAGCCCCGGAGCAAGGCGATCGTTAAGGGGAGTTCAGAGCAGCACTTCAGGGTCTGCAGTGATGGAGAAGACCAATCAGGAATTTAGTATGAGCAGAATCCAGGGAGTGGGGGGAGATACTCGGAGAGAATGAGAGAGGAGGAGGTGGGAGGGCTGCAGGAGCAACTGCAGGAATTCAGGCAGAACCTGAGAGGGAGAGGAGCAGAGGATACGAGCGGCCACGTGAGCCATCAGAGCGCCAAACCTGAGCCCAGGTCCGGCTGAGACTGCACAGAAGGACCATATATGATAAAACAGAACTGCCCCCACAGAGTTCCCAAGGCTACTGTAAATCTTAACCACTGTCCCACTAGGGCTCCTGAAGGAATCTCCCAGAAGTCCTCTAAAACCTTGTTTCTCCAAGTGTTGTCCTAGACAAATAACATCAACATCACCTGGGAGCCTGCTCAAAATGCAGAATCTTGGGCACAGCGCAGCCCTGCTGAATCACAACTTGCCTTTAACCAGATGCCTGGGGACTGGTGCACACAACACAGTTCAAACAAATCTGATCTACAACAGTGGCTTTCATCTGGAGGGTGTGTTACAACACACAGAAGGGTCTGCTTCTCCGTCAGCCCATACCCCACCTCTAGGGATTCAGATTCCCTAGGTCTGGCATGAGGGCTGAAAGAAGCCCTGGTGACACAGTGTATTATGTACTGGACTGCACTCAGAACCCCCAAGCTGCTCCACAGAAGAATGATGAGACCCTCTGTGCCCATAAAAATGCACCACCTAGGAAACTCGATGGTGGCTGGCCACCAGTCAGTGTGTTGTGGGCCGAAACGGATTTCCAGGCAGTAGGTTTGGCTTTGGGTGCAGACTGAGACTTGAGAAAATGTATTTCTAATAGTTTCTCAAGCAATACCTAAACAACCAGCATAAGAAACGTTAATACACCAAATCCCGTGTATGCTTGCACATTTCCACTGACGACAATCACTGTGTTGTCCCAGAAACCCTTTCCATTTGGATCATCTTAAATGTGGCATACCAGGTCAGGGATGGCTTTTCTGGGCATCCCAACATTTTACTGCACCCTTTAGAAGGACACAACACAGGTGGGGAAGGACTGTGTTCCCAAGGTGGAGTCACCCTAAAACCAGCAAGGTGACTAGGTCAGGGGGACAGGCTGGGAGATCTCTTTGATATGTTCTCCTTCACAGATGAGACAGTGAGGCATTCTGGCCTCTAACGGTAAGTATGGATAAGACTGGATTCATCATGTCACTGACATCATCAATCAGTGAGAGGAGGAAGCCAGGCAGTGACGAGGCTCTTCTGAGGGGTTTAGACTGATCCCCAGCATCAACCTTCCTCACCATTACTGGCCTATAACAGCACTGACTGATGTCTGGTACACCCACCGCGAGGCAGCAATGATGCCTTCGCCAAACCTACTGACAAGAACTGGACACTTCACTCTACCCCTAACCTCCACATCCAGGACTCCAGCTCCAGAGAGGTGATGGCTCGTGGTGGCTACAACACGACCAGTAGGACTTAAAACCCAGCTTTACCATACACCAACCATGTACAGAACCGAGGGCAAGTCCTTTTACTTCTCTACGTCTTTTCTACCAGAGCTGCCAAAGATAATTGTGAGAAGAAAAAAAACACAAACAAACAAGAGCGGGGATGTACAAGGAATTATCCTGTTCTCCCCCTTCCATCCTGCTCTTTTCTCTGGATTAGTATTCAAATCTACCATAAGGAGCTCAAGTGGTACAGTGAGTTAAGAGTTGTAACTCAGAGGTTAGTGGTTCAAACTCAGGAGCAATTCACTGGATAAAGACAGGAAGTTTGCTCCTATAAAGATGTACAGCTTCTGAAATTCTATAGGGCAGTTCTAGTCTGTCCTATAGAGTCATTATGAGTTAGAATCTACTACATTGCACACAACAACCATAAATTTAATACCCATAAAAAAAAGCATAGCTTATATGGTGGAAGGCCAACACATCACACAACACACATCACAGAGCATCATTAATTCAAGGACAGCTACAACAAAGTTTACACACACAGGGAAACACAACTTTTCATTTTACTCAAATCGACAGAGAAGCTCGAGTAATCATTACAGGAGAGGCAAGCTGGCTACGATATGTTTGCACTGGAAACATCCTTCACAATACCCACTGATGGTATGTATATGTATAGGGTAGGGGCATAGAAGGACAATGTACTCCAATGTATGTTCTCAAGTTGTATGTCTATGTTTTCACAGTCTTTCTTTCTGTATTGGCAAAGCAAGTCCATCTTGCAATTACACTCTGTATAGTCCCCATTCACATGAGTAATTCTCCAAGAAAAGGCTCACAGACACATGAACTCATTCTTGTGTCTGTCTGTCTCCAAGGAGCAGAAAAATGGTTCTACCAGAATCTGGACTTTATGAGTGTGTTGATGTCCTATCACACAAAGTGGTGGGAGAGAGATGGGACAGTAGCATGGGTACCTCAACCTGAGATCACTGAGGGCAACAGATAAGCCATCAATACTGTTTCAATGGCCTTAGGAAGGAATGACTTCCATTAGGTTGATGCCTCAGGTCTGACATGGGCTTTTATCCCATTAATGATTGCTTGACACCCAGACCTCCTCGTAACTCAGAAACTGAAAGGATAAGAAGCTCACTTAGTGAACACTGGTAAATATGGACCAGGTTAAAGGCTCAGAGCAGGAAAGTAGAGAGGGCAGTTCTATAGCCTCTAGCCACATCCCATCCCCATGTGGCCAGAGGGGACTTACCACAGAATTAAACAGTGACTATGGAATGCAAATGGCAGGGATTGAGACTATCTTGTGGTCATTAAAAACTATCATTATGGGGTAAACAAAACAAAATATGTACATCAAAATGACAAGCCAAAAACCATGCAAAAATGATATATGATTATAAATATGATCAGAATCATATTTTTTAAAACCCACTAAAAATGCAAAGACAGAAACCCATGTGGATGGTAGGTAGTAGGTTGTTTCCTTGTGCTTGTCTAAGTGTGTGTTGTTCTGAACAACTAACTGTGTGCTGATTTTGTAAGTTGAAAAGCTTACTCAGATCCACTTATAAAAACTGGTAAAATTCCAAGTGAGAAGCCAGTTTGTTAGGATATTCATAAGTAAGTTCTAATTATGAATGAACACATAATTTATAAAGAAATAGAAAATACTGGTGAATGAGTTTACAACATATGTCTGTCTACTGTTCTAATGAAATTCCTTATGTGCAGTTACACATTAGCATTTTCTTAATTAGTGCTAGGAATTTTAGTAAATAATTCTTATGCATTTAAAACTAAAATCAAGCACACCCATGTTTATTGCAGCTTTGTTCACAATAGCAAGGAGTTGGAAACAACCTAAGTGCCCATCAACAAACGAATGGCTAGAGAAGCTGTGGTATATTCGCACAATGGAATACTATGCTGCATTAAAAAACAAGGAACTCATGCAATGTTATTCAAAATGGTTGACTCTGGAGAACATTATGCTGAGTGAAATATCCCGGTCACAAAAGGACAAATATTACATGATGCCACTGTTGTAGAATGGGACTGTCCTTGGGGTTGGGGAGAGACTGAGTAAGATGGGTTCAATAATGTATACTGCACTGAAACAGAGGAGGGAGAAAACTGTTTAAAAGAGATATATAACTAGGTATTTCTGTCATCACAGGAGACTAGAGCGAGGGCTACATGGTGGAGGGGACCTGGGGGAGGGTTTGTAAAACAATGAAAGAATCTTTTCTTTTACTTTTCCATAATTTTTGACTCATGTTCTTATAACTTGTTAGTTAAATTTGTGTCTTCTAGGTTGCAACACCCCCATGATACATCTTCAAGGATATGAACATGTACAGCCAAGCACAATCAATAAGAGTGCATCTAAATTCCAAAATCAATCTCCATAATAGTCTATGTGTTTCCTACTGCCAAAGGGGCCCTTTAGAGTAGTGAGAGAAGATCTTCACCCTGAAACCCACAGCGTCCCTTTTCAGCAGGAAGTAGCTAAGAGAATACGCCATCCCCTTTTCCTTATGACTCAGGGTGAAGTCTCTCTCAGGGAGGAGTGATAGGGAATGGCAAAGGACACACTGACAAAGAAGATTAATCAGAACTGGCTTTGACAAGCACTGTGGCATTTGGACAAGAACAAACTGGGAGGAGGGTAGAGAGAATAGTGCAGCAATGAATGAATGGAAACCCAAAATCTCTGTAAATGTTTATGAAAATTAATAAAATATAATTATAGAAAAAAATAAAACTAAAACCAAGACTATGCCATTTGGTTAGAACAGCCAACACTGACAATAGTAGAGGCCATATTTTATTGATAGTGCTGATCACGCCCCTGCTGATGCTTCTGGCCTGGCCTGACCTAGCCGACCAGGACACATTCAGACATCCAAAGAGCAGCTGGAAGTCCCACTGGCACCTCCCAGGCAATAGGTCCCAAGCAGATCATCTCTTCCCTTTGAGCTCAACTTCTAATCATTCATCATCGTCAACATCCACCCTGAGCCGCAGCCCGTGAGTCATTTCTGATTCCTCTCTCCACACCTAAGTCTAATCATCATACTTCTCCTTTTACTCCCAATACAGAATTTTTGTGTGTGCTTTCTCTGTTTGGTTTGAAACTCTGCACCACCTGCTCTGCTCATGTCTCACTTCCTTTTCCTTCTATTACTGCGTTTCCTTCCGTCTTACTACACTTCCAATCCTAGGTTGGCTGGGTCCTGCTCTGGTTCCTTTCTCCCTCCCAGCCGGCCTGGGCTTGGCTAAAAACACACATCTGACTACCTGACAGTACGCAGTACACGCTCTTTTAAATGGAGTCCACAGTTACTGAACTTCGCCTTCCAACTTCTTGAACTTCCACCCCCAACAGCACTGGTTGTGGCATATGTCTGTCCTTCCACCGCGCCCCCCTGTTTTCTGTTTTAGTTCCTTGAATAATCATCTTAATCTATTCATTGTCCCAATGGGCCTTGTCTTCCAGGCTTCCGGAACCCCTCTACTGTTGACAGAGTTACACTGTACCCGGCATGTTTGCTTTATCCACTGGACTGGGAACTAATGGGACAAAAATCATATATATCATAGTGCCCTGTATCCCCAAGGAATAGCATGGAGCCTGCTACATCACAAGCACTTATTTGTGGAAATGAAAAGCAGTAACATTAGCATGCTAATTACTATTAAAGAATAATGTACCTTGTAGACAGAGAGCAGCTAATTCCACAGCAGTTTCATATGGGCATTTCAATCTTGGGAAAGAAAGGGAAAAAACAATTTTAAATATGTACTTAATTACTCATAAAATAAAAATGTCACTAAAAGAGTTTTCCAGAAGATGTGGTACTCAGTTAATAAGTTTTTATTTTGTGTCACTAATATTTCTGTTGCCCACTACAAAGAATGTTAATAATCGGACTTACACTATGTAATCCCCAAATCAGCCAAACTTTATCATGACAAAATAATCCAATCTAAGTATAATCCTAACAACCATATAAATAATATTACTGAATTTGGTAAATTGGGGATGTTTGGGGTGCAGAATGAAAAGTCCTCCCTTTGTCGTCTTTAAATTATATTCTTTACTGTGTTTTCAGGAAAGGTTTACTCAGCAAATTAGTTTCCCATTAAGTAATTTCTACAGAATTTGTTAAGTGACAAGTGACAAGTTAAGTGACAAGTTACAGATTACAATGTGCCAATTAACTCATTATTTCCATTCTGGTTGTTCTACTTCCCTTAATCTAGTTGACTTCCTCTCTTGTCTTCGTACAGGGAAGTGTTCAGAGCTGCTTTACACAGGGTGGTTATGCATTGCAGGAGACTCAATGGCACATAAAAACAATAACATATGATGACAGGTTTGTATCCACTTCCTAAATAACATGCCTTCAGAAACTCTATGAACTCTGATAAAGTCAATAGTTGTAAAGGGGCTTCAGACCTTTTTTGGGCATGAGTCACTATGTGTTGTGCTCAACTCAAAGGCAATCAACAACAACTTGTCTTTGTGTCATTAAAAATAAAGCAAACCGGAGAGAGACTCCATCTTCCACCACCCTCTGTAACAAAACTCCTGAGTAAACTGCTGTGAGAAGGAAAAAAAAAAAATAAAATAAAGCAAACCATATGGCCTCATAAAGAGGATTTTTTTAGCACATTATTCAAGGGCAATATTGTTTATTTTATGAGTCAATCTGTTATTTAGCTAAAAGATGACCTCATGGAATAGTTTGGGTTCAAAGTTTAAAGGGGAGCTTAAGGTGAGAGTCAGAGCGAGTGGAGCGGGAAAATGCGTCAGGTTGTTGTTAAGTGCTGCTGAGTTGAGTATAATTCATAGTGACCCTATGAACAACTGACCCAAACACTGTCCTATCTTGTGCCATCCTCACAATTTCTGACATAGCAAGCACATTGTTACAGTCATTGCGGTAAGTTAAACTTTTCTGTCAGTTTGTTGTATTGGGACATTAACCTGCTTACTGCGTAGTTTCCAATAGTCTAACGAATGTAAGGACTTTTAAGTGCCTTATTTTTAAGTTTTAATTATTTTATCTTGCTCTAGTCTATGTGCCTTTTTGAACAGTCTTAAATCTTTCCTAGAAAAATGTCAGTGTTAAAATAAAATACAGACACCACGTCTAACACTTCCAGGACAACTGGAAATATCAAGAATTTTAATGAAAAAAAAAAAAAAGAATTTTAATGGTCTAACTTAGGTATAGTCTTAAGAGGCATATTACTAGAAACCAAATTATTTCATTAGGAAAATAATGATGGCATACATTGGGACAGCACTTCATAGATTTCAAACCCTTCTCACACATATTATCCAATCAGATTCGTGTGTTGAGTTTGTAACCCCGTAGAATGGGTGTGGCCAGGGTGCACAACCACAGCAATTTTAGAAGTAAGGTCCTCCTGAGTGTTAAAGGTGTCATGTTCAAAACCATCCAGCTGCAGCGCTGGGACCACACCACCAGTCGGTTCTGAAGTAGAGCAAATCCTATAAAGTGCTGTAAAAATGTAAGGCGCTGCCATTACTATTTTTCCAAACTGAAGACAAGTTCTAGAATTGAGAGGCTGTTAGTATGAGGAGCACAGTATGGAGAGATAAACATATACACACACACTCATAATATATACACCAACCAAAGATCTATATCGCATAGCTCACTAAGACAAATGTATACACTGTACAATCTACTTGTTTCATAGTGTGTACTGCACTGACATTTTTACGGTGTATCCTATTGAGTTTTCAAATTCTGAAATTAGAATTTTAATATCCTTTTTTATTGTATTAAAAAATCAGATGCAAAATGTATTCTTGTCAATATCAGGTATTCCTTTTCAGATTCAACAAACCGTAAGTTTTTCTTGTGATAGAAAACATGACATATGTTTAAAAATGACACAGCTGTAAAAAGCTATGGCTGCTGAAACTGCATATCCTTAATATAAATTAATATTGCATGCAAAATCAACCATGTCAGTGCCAATGCCCCTTGTGTCAAACAATCATTCAATTGTCCAGCCAGAAGCCTAACATTTAAAAATCATGCCTATGCCTCTTTCTTTTGGAATCAGAATATAACTGCTAAATATTACCTAGTGCAGGTGGTGATGAATGAGACTTTTGGACTAAAACTTATAAGTGTATACATACATTTTGTCCAAAGACTTGTAAGTGTATACATACTAATAATGTATCTTGCTTGCAAATACAACATTAGCCACTATGAATGGGGCAGTGATGTGATCAGGGAGGGAACCATTCCCAAATACACATCACTTAAGATATTAAGTGCTCTTGGAAATGCTTCAAGCCGTATAGTAATCATTTAAAATAGGATGATGATGACAGTGATACAAGTATTAGACTCACTTTACAATGCCTGGTGCACTTTTTTTTTTAATTTTAAAAAGGGAAAAAGGGTAAGAGTTAAAACAGTGAATTATTTCAAAACATCTTGTGATCTATCATGGGTTAAGAATTAAAACAAAACCATACTTACTTTCCTGAAAGAATGTCATGCCTGAGTTGTAAAACAAACAGGTACCTAACAAACATATACAAAAGTCAACAGAAGGTAACTTGCCCAGCCACCACCAATCCCCAACTTCCCATCACAAACCTCACTCCACACAGAGCCCAGAATTTTGCATTGTAAAAAGGGAGTCCAAATCAAATGAGAACTTTGGTGGAAGCATCTCCTCCTGTGTCTCCAGGAAGTCACCTCAGGACCCAGCTGGGAAGGATTAGGGCATGGTTGGAATTTGCAAGATACTGGTAGGATGGAACATGGAACGTTGCACAGTCCATGCTGGTCTCTACATGCCCTGGAGAACTCAGGAAGAGGACCAGACAGGGCACAGACTTGGTACACAGGCATGCAACGTGTCCGATAAAACAAGCAGGGTGGAACCACTCAGTCTGTCCCTCAGCCAGCTCCACAAAAGCTGCAGTTGTCTGTCTCAAAAAGTTTACAGCTGACTGTACTGAGTAACTGTTTGAGGCTTTTTTATTTCCTGATGCAGAGTAACTGCAGTCAGTCTTAAAAGACAATGCAGGCAAGCACACACACATACAGAAAAGAAACAGGATAAATCTTGGAATAGGACAGCAATTAGTTACAGGGGAAAGGAATGATGGAGGCGGAAGGCTATGGGTAATCCAATGGGGGTTCACTTAGGTGAAAAGTAAATGCCTTGGTTTAAAGAAGTGACTTTTAACCTGGGTGTGGGCATCAGAGCCACTTGTGCTCTGTAAATACCAAAGCCGCCTACACTCCACTGGATACCAACAAGATCAGAATCTTATACAAAGGAGTGGTCCCCAGGGACCAGCATCATCCAAAAGCTCCCCAGGTGTTTCTAATCCACACAATCCTGGTTAAGAATCACTGACTGATGACAGTTAGAAGGAGTTCTTTCTTAAAGGACCCTGAAGAGGAACACTAGACTAATCTAACTCTGAAAACACTGGAGACACTCACTCTGTGGAAGACCACAAAAGACAACAGGTGCCCTAGAAACAAAGGTATGTGTTGGGCTATAGGATCCAATACATAGCAGAACGTTCCTGATTTCCAAAGCTGCTTAATCATCATTGAACATGACTTCTAAAATTCAGGGTACCATCTTGTTTGTATATTCACATCAAGGATGACATAATGCCGAAACACCTAGAGTTTGCAATTTCTGTGAGAAAATCTAACCAGATCTAACCAGAAGGCCAGATCTTTCTGGTTGGGGAATGGTGTTAAATGTTCAGTTTTTAAAGTTTTACTTAGGCATTCACCTCTAACATAGTGGTCATCACCATGGGCCACCCATGAAGTTTATGCGGCCTCAGCCACCACTGCACATGATGCAATTACAAAGAAGCTCTAGGGACATCAAAAGCAGACCAAGGTAGGGCAGATAAGTTCTCAGCTAAGGAGGTGGGTGGAGAGAAGCTTGATTATTTAAAAGAATTCAAACCCCTTTTGCTTTTGCACAGACAGACACAGGCAGACTATTAGTGTTGTCTTGGGTACAGCTCCTTAAAGAGAGGCCTCCTTGCATTGTAACAAACAACAGAATAGTTTACAGTCCCTCAGAAAAATAAGATGACTGTTTTGAAAGAAAAAAAAAAAAAGATGACTGTTTTGGACACTGGGAAGAGCATCACTCTTCTAGCAGCTGCCCTCTTTTATTGTGGCTGGGTGAAAATAAACAGCGATAAAATGATTAACCAGTTTGCCCCAAGCTCAAGTAAATAAGAGTGACAAATCTTGTCATTTCCATTCACTAAAAGTAAGGGTCAAATTAAATTGAGGATTTTCAACAGCACAAAGGAAGTGTTAATTCTTGCTCAGAAATACAAAGAAAGCAGATGGAATGGGAGGATACCCACAATTTAGGAGACCCAGAGTTTAGAAGCAAGATCTTGTTCTGTATTATGTCCTACCTTGTAAACTCTTCACGAAGGTTGTTCGGTTCTGAAGAATAGTATTTAACTCGAAAGTGCAAAGCATAAGCAGGTCCGACTAAACATTTGGAGGAGGAAGGTTGAAGGTTTTTGAAGATCACAGAATACACAGAAGAAAAAACATATTCAATCTACCACATAATCATTAATATATTGGGAAAGAAAAATGGGACCTATAAAGCTTGAAGTCCTTTCAAGCCTATTTGGAAAAACTAAAAATGGACTCTTGTGTTGACTAAGAGGGTTTACCTAGTAACTTCATTGTGGGGAAATAAACAAAAATAAAGCAAAACAAAACAAAAGATCTAGATGAATGACTAAAAGTTGACATTTTACTTTCACCCTTGACACCAAGATACTCCAAATTGATACCTAATTTTTTTACAAAATACCAAATAGTCTAGAGAGGGACAGAAATAGGTTTTGAAATCTAATACAGAGTAAAATATCTTCAAGTATTTTTTAAGGAATGTAAATATGTGTGTACTTATTTGTTAGGAAGCAAAAGAGTGTGTATGTGTGTGCACGCATTGAATATACACATCCACACATATATACTAACACATACATTTAAATGATATTATCAAGAGAGCTGGGCTGGGTAGCTCAAATGTTTCCTCCTCTACCATTCCCGGACTCTATTTTCACTGGAAAGTCAATACAACAGTTCTAAAACTGTTTCTTAATAGTGTATTATTCAGTTCTCATTTTAAAGGGGAGTTTGATTTCAAATGAAAGCACAGGCTGTTTTTTAATATCTACTTATTCAAATTTCAAATGCCAACATTTGGTCAGCTTTAACAAATTAAAAACTACCTACTTAACAGAAGATATATTTAAAATGCTTCCAGATTCTAGTGAAAACACAACATCTCAAAATATTGGCAAAGGAGTTTACACTCAGAGAATAAAATAGGTGCATATGCTTAATTCTTACTACTTACTTTTCATCTGTTTTTTTATGGGTTTGGAAAGATCCAGCCAGTGCTGAAAAAGAGAGAAACATTTCTTTAGGGTAAGTTTATTGGCAAGAAAATTGAACCCTCAAGAGTTACCCCTTCCTACAGAAACTCAGTCTGAATTCTGCCTGAATTCATCAGGGACTGAACCAGATCCTAAGTTCCTAGACTGGAGATCAGCAAACCCCTTGGGATAGTAGGAAAAAGTCCATGTTTACTTAAGTAAATACATTTTTCTGGGAAAATAGTTCACAATTTCTGTAAGATTATAAAAGGAATAGTCAAAAGAACCAAAAAACCCCTTAATAAATGCAGAATGCAGTGAACACAATATTACTGAATTATACCTGTGAAAAAGGTTGAGATGGCAAATGCTTTGTTACATATATTTTTACCAAAATTAAAAGGGGAAACCATCCCTTAGCTAAATGATCTAAAGTTCCTTCTGGTCAAGGGAACTATCAACTGCTGTTTTCTTCTTAGATTCTCAACTTACATTCTTTTTCCACTTATTTAAAATTTCCACAAGTCCAGCAAAGAACAAGTCACACTTGGAAAAACCTCTACATCATCTTATAGTTCCAGTGCCCTAAACTCTAAAATCATAAAACCACACTTCCATGGCTCCACCACACTTCTGCCAAGAAAATAATCTATCTCAATTGGCAAGATAATAGTCTCACAGCTGAGGATCTGCCCAAGATAATTTTGCTATGGTCACTGGGGGCATTTTAACTTCCTCTAGCGCTCACCACAAGAAGTCCTTCAATTTCCTCCATTCAAGGATATTACAAAACCACAGCCCTCATATAGAAATTCCTCTTTTATGTCAAAGTTGTTGATACTACAGTCCTGATGGCCTCAGTAATTTAACTTACATGAGAGACTATGCTCAGAGTCTCTGAGTAACACAGTAAGTTTGTGCTCAACCCCTAATCTCAAGGTTGGCAGTTCAAACCCATATTGTGGTACTGTTACTGTGGAACATGGGGCCTGGAGATCTGCTCCCAATAGGATTATAGTCATGCAACTCTGAGGAGCAGAGTCTACTCTATAAAGCATGAGTCAGAATCCTCTCAATGGCAACTAACTACAGCACTGTCCCGTGCAGCTGTTCAGTAAATGACTAAAGAAAGAAAAGGATCCATCAATATACTGGAAGTTTGCACTACCCAATATGCAACCTGATAACCCTGTCATCATGCTCCCTTGACTATTCTGTTGACCTTTCTCTTTCCACTTACACTGGCTTCTGTTTAGACAACACAGCAACATTCAGAGACAAGGAAATATTAAATCTCAAAACCTGTTTAAGGTTTTCCCACTAACTTCTAATGACTAAATTTACACGTAAGTGTCCACTGCCAGCACACGGGACGGCAAGAGTCAGAACTGACTCTAGGACAACAGGCTGTTTTCTATAATACTGTGAGGCCTTTGCATGAGCTACCTTAGCTATTTCTGTGTTTCTTGGGCTGGCTGCAGGGCTTGACACTGAACAGGGCCATACATTCTAAAAAAATAATAATAAATAGGAACCAAGATGGTGGCAGTGGCAGAAGAAACCACATAAGGAGCTACAGGAGTAGCAAGCTGCATAGAAACAGGCCACCATGGCCTTCCACAGTCCTCAGTTTATCTATGACTGAACAATTAAACAGTTGATAATGGTCTTCAGTATGGATTGAGGCTCAGCATCAAGAGAACAAAGATTCCCAAAAAAGAATGGCTGAGTCCCACGGCTCCCAGGCCACCACTGCTGAGTCCATGCTGCCACTGCAGCTCCATGGCCTGTGTGGCTGGACCCCAAGGCTCCCCTCACCTGGGATGGACGGCGGGTGCCAGGCCCCAAAGCTGGTACGACAGAGCCTCCACACTGCCGCCGAATAAACTCACTCTAAAATAGGTTCTCAGAACCAAGATGGCAATGGCAAGAGATGTGACGTGAGGAGCAGGAGGCTCAACAAGCCACGGCCACGCAACTTATATATTCCCAAAGAGCCAGGCAGCTGACTGCTGGTCATCAGTGTGGACTGAAGCTCAACATCAAGAGGACTTCCTCCCGCTGCCTGCCGCCGAGCCCAGGTCTCCTGGCCTGGACCAGGTGGCGAGCGCTGGGCCTCACAGTGTGTCGGAGCCCCCGCGCGGATGGTGACTGCAGATGCCAGGAGACGCAGGCCCACAGCGCAGGGGCGGGGGGCAGCACCATGGAGCTGCTGGGGGAGGTGAAGGACTTGATAAGGGAAAGCATCCTGCTGTCAGTGAAGAAGATTGCCTTTGACAGGCCAGCGAAAATCATCAACACGATGGATTGATAACAGTCACTATGAGTTGTCTACAACTCGACAACACTTAACAACAACAACATATCCGAGACTGTAGATCTCAATACACCACAGCTTTTGATTTACTGAGTACTGCTGCCAAGAACTGTTTAGACCTAGGGAGGGTCTGTTCACCACTCTGAGTCCCTTCTCCATTTCTGAAGGGGGAAGATAGTGATGCCTACTTTGAAGTCTGCTCACTTGGTGGAGGGGATGGGGGCAAGAGTGGCAGTGCCAGAACTGGGGGTGCTGTCCCTGGCCATGGACTACAGTGAGGTACAGGGTCCAGACCTCGGGATGGGATGATGACTTTGGTAGGGGAGTGTATCACCTGGCCCCTGGGGTGTGTCACCCAGGCCCCCAGGGAAAGCTGTCTGGCCCCAGAGGTGAGTTGTCCGACCCCAGGATGTGCTGTCCAGACCCTGGGGAGAGCTGTTTGGCCCTCAGAGTGTGCGTCCAGCCCCTGGGAAGAGCCTTCAGGTCACTGGGGAAATCTGCCTAGAAGATACAAGAATGTTATCTAAGCCACTTTCCTCCACCTTGCCCCCAGTACACTTGCAACTAATGCCTCCAAGCCCTTCTATTTGTAACTCACAAGTTTGTTCTCTCTAGGTTTGATCCTTTTCCTATAAGTAACCTTAACATGGAGTTTTACTCCAGACCTGAACCCTGAACCCAGAGCCAGAGACAAAAGGGAAATATAACTGCCAGCTAAGGAAGCAAAGGAGGATGGAGCCTCAGGGCTCAGTCAGCCATCCCCACTGGACCCACCTTGGCAAACATTTTGCAGTCCAGAGGGCAGTAAACATCAGGAAAATATCTTCTAACTGAACAAAAAGGTATGCAGCTTTAATCCAGGACCACCAGTAAGGTGTTAAAGTGGGTTCCCCTTCCCCCTTCACATCAATGCCCCTGTTCAGCATGAAGAAGCCAGAGAGTCTGCACCCCATTCCCAAATGAGAAACTCACAAGTGAATAAGAAAATTTCTTTGTTTAAAAAAAAAATTAATCACCATTGAACTATGCTTACTATTACCCTGTCTTTGCTGGTACCCACTGAATCTTTCTCATTTCCTTTACCTACTCCCCCCACCCACCAAATTGTGCAGCCCTGAGATTTCATCCCTGCCCATCCTCACTCTTCTGCTCCCAGCCCTCACCTCCTTGTGTCCTCATACATGTTTTTCACAATTAAAAAAAAAGTTAAATATGTTGTTGTTGTTCTTGTTATGTGCCATCGAGTGGCCTGCAACTCAGTGACCCTATACACAAAAGCCCTAAAGCCTGCTCTATGTTGTGCCAATCTTATTGTCTCTTATACACCTATTCCTATTATCCCAGTCATAGAAACAATCCATCTCATCGAGAGTCTTCCTCTCTTGCACTGTGCCTCCACCCTCCCAAGCATGACGTCCCTCTCCAAGGATTGGTCCCTTCTTGCAAATGTCTAAAGAATGTCAGATGAAGCTTCAGAATCCTCCAAGGAGTAGCCTGGTCTCACCCTCTCCAGGATGAACCTGTTTGTTCTCCTAGCAGTCCATGTTATATTCAATAATCTTCTCTAGCACTACAGCTCAAAGGCATCAAGTATCCTTCTAAAATTCCTAGTCACTGTCCAGCTTCCTGATGCATAGCCAGTAATTGCAAAACCGATGGCTTGGATCAGGTGCACCTAAGTAAATAGGGACTATCTGCATCAATTCATATTAACTCAACATATGTTGGGGGATCACAGTCAGAATAAGAGTAGAATAACACAGCCAGAGTGGCTATTCAGAATCAACGACCAGTTGGCTGATTATTAATACATTTTTAGAAAATTCTGCATATTCTCATAATGAAAGAGGCCCTGACTAAATTAGTGGAGTGTACCCTACGTCCAACCATTATGACTGTGTAGGAGGAGGGGGAGCAGGGAAGCACAACAGCAAACAACAGATGAATCATAACACAATGAGTCGAATGCAGAGCTTGAGGAGAATGTGGGCTTCTGTTATCTCCACTCCAGGCGAGGCAATCGTGCAACAAAAGCAGCAAGTGGATCACTGCAGCAGTGTATCTCAAAGGCACACGGACAGGGTGCTTCATTTCACTGCTAACAGATTTGAATTGGAAATGACCTACATATCCATCAACAAAGACAGATTAAAAACTGGCCCATCTATATTATGAAATACTATCAGCCTTTGAAACTGATATAGGCTTTTTACTTATTGGCGTGGCAAGAAGAACCAAGGCACAGTGTTACATTTCTAAAAAAATTCAGGTAGAGTGTCTCATCTCTAGAAAATTATTATTGTCATCCTATTGAGATTCATTCAGAGAGATTTTCAGAAGTTATTTTTAAATAACCTGTGAATGTCATTTGCCTTTTGTTCTTTTTCTGCATTATTTATTACTTTAATGAGAATATGACATTTGGTTGTCACTTTCATATTCATTATTTACCTGTTGAGTAGGTTTTTTTGTTGTTTGGTTTTAGTTTGTTTTTTTTTTTTTTTTGGTTTTAGTTTTGTTTTTTTCTTGTTGTGTACCATCAAGTCAGATCCGACCGGCACAGGAAGAGATTGCCCCTCCTTCTCCAGTGGAGCATCTGGTGGATTCAAACCACACGCCTTTGGGATTGCAGTGTAGCTCCTTGACACCAGAGTTCCCTTGTTGGGTAGTTTTTGATCATCAGGTTGGTTCATTAGAATTGGATTAT